TTAGTTAAATCAAACAAACACCTGAGGACAGAATCTGTCAGTCCGCAGCAGGCTTTAGGTGCTGCGGCTCACTTTGCCTTTTTGTACTTCCTCATATATGCTGCTATGGAGTTGCTGATCTCCACATTTCTTTTGTTTTGTCCAAAATACTCCACAAACTCCCCATCGGGTCCCACGAGGTACATGATGATGGTGTGATCGACCTGAAGACAGCAAGAGGAGGAAATCAGACCTCATGGACAAAATTGTTTATTTGTTGTCCTTAAATATCCGTGCATTGTTACGAAACATGACAATAGAGCAGGTGATGACTCACAATGTAGTCGTTGTCTTCGTCCTTTGGTCCCTGACTGTAATAAACTCTGTAGGCTCTGGAAACCTGCTCGATCTGAGGCAGTGTTCCCGTCAGGCCAATCAGCTTTGGGGAAAACTCTGAAAAATAAAGAATTAATCCATCAGAATTAAAGTAGTAAAATGCAAGTCATGAATTTCAATTGTAACTCACAGATATGTGTTAAAGTACAGATTGTATTTATCTGTGGATATTGTGTATTGATATACTGTTTATTCTTTTTGTCAGCGTTTTTTCTTATTCTCTAATCACTTTTATACCAACAGCAAATGAAATGTTCTTAATCATAGTGTGTGTTATACATAAACAAAAACAAATAAAGGAACATCCATATATAAAATATAATTAGAGACAGTATAAAGGATATTAATAGTTATTAAACAGAGACATAAATCTAATATAAATAAAACAAAGTATGTGAAATAGAATAAAAGCGTTGCAAATGATGTGGCCAAGGCACCTAAAAGTCCGTAGGTCTTGAGATTGAAGTTGGGCCCCTTTATATGAAACAGAAAGTATTCGTTGTTTTTACCTTTCACATATTCAGCCATGGCCTCTGGTGTGTCCCGGTCAGGATCGATGGTGATGAGGAGCGGCGTCAGATTTGGAATCGATTTTATTTTATCTGTGTAAAAAAATAAATGTGAAATTGGGATATCAAAGTGTTTCTATAACCCTGCACAATTTGCTATTTTTAAACTCAATCTCAATTAAATGTGTTTATATTGTATTAAAAAATACTCCAACTACTTTGCACATTGTATAAAGTATCCTTTGTTTTATTTAGTAGTAGTAGTAGTTTGGTGTATTATAACTTGTTTATTTATATTGTGAATTCCATACACAACAAATACTGTTGATTTGTATATATTCAATGATTATTTTATTTTTTTCATTCATGGACAATGCCTTTATAACCAGGGGTGCACATAACTTTTTTGCCCTGGTTCTCAAAGGAGCACCTGGAGATGTTGCTTGGTGCTCATCCTTAAAATGAAATAATCCGTAATTTTTGAGGGGTCTTGACTTTATTTGCCAGACACACGGCACTGAACACACATGCAGAGGTGAACACAGAACACACATGCAGAGGTGAACACAGAACACACATGCAGAGGTGAACACAGAACACACGTGCAGAGGTGAACACAGAACACACATGCAGAGGTGAACACAGAACACACATGCAGAGGTGAACACAGAACACACATGCAGAGGCGAACACAAGACAACATTAGCACGACCAGTAATCCTACAAGCTGTCATCACTACCCTCCTGACTGTTCTCCTCACTGTCTTCCTCTCTGTCAGACATGGTAGCTGATGATGTAGGCCTACTTCTTTCTCTCTGGTTGAGTCTGCGATTAGCTGCTTGCATCCACAAGTCAACAGCTGGTTTTGGGTCGAAAGTCTCTGTTGTCATCTTAGACAAGTGGATGTAATCAAATAAGTATGTGAACATAACCAATAACCTACCATAGCAAATAACAAATGAATGTAACTTATTTTATTTGTGTTGTTCATTCATATCTTATTTTACCTTAACATTTATTTATTTATGCATTTTTTTTTTATCTTTCCAGTTTTAAAGGATATGTTTGGTTACTGTCCTATAGTAGCCTATACATTGGAATGATTTCAAACCTGTTTATCCCAATAATGATAAAGGAGTGCCTTGGAAATATGTGTTTACATAAATTGTGATCAAAACGTTTGAGACCCACTGAGATAACTTAGACTAAAGTGAACTATCTAAACACTCAGATTCCTTACCTCACTGAGCTGTAGTTATCAGCCTCTCAGTCTGACTAGAGAGGACTCTCCCTCCACATTATTGTAGAAACATCTTCTTCTGTTATCCGTTAGAGCAGCTAGCACCAGATGCTAATAACAACAGCGCCGGAACCGGTGCACCATCCCTCTCTCCCACGCTCACTCGCACTTTGGCTGTGAGCTGCGGGTGCCAGATAAGCCAACATCCCCCATTTTCATCACTTACAGCGCCCATCGTACAGGGCAAATTAAACGTGTAACCGGGGTGAAAAGGGTGTTACATTTACTTAATTATGAATATTGTTACATCAAGGCCGAAAATTAGGATGAGCGCCAACGGTCAAAAATGTTTTTTTCCCTCCCAGAGCTGCCAGCGCAGCGCCTCCACAGATCTGGCGCCCTAGGCGAACATCTATAACGCCAGGGCTACAGGACGGCCCTGAGTTCATATGCAACTCGCAAATATCTTTCTCTCTCCTCTCTTCTCTCTTCTCTCTCTCTCTCTCAATGTTGGTACGCAAATGCGCCTTTTTTCAAATGGCCCGGTGCTCTTTTTTTGGCGGAGATGCGCATGCGCACCTGCGCACCAGTTATGTGCAGCCCTGTTTATAACCTCCTACTACTGCTGTGACTAAATATTTTCCCAAATCAATAAAGTACATCTAATTCCTGATCAAAGCAGTTTTTATTACCTATTTCATCCACCACTTCGATCATTTTCTCTATCTCATCCGGACAGATGTCAGGGCAGTGAGTGAACCCGAAATAGAGGAGGACCCACTGCCCCAGGAAGTCCTCGCTCTTGGACGGCTTGTTGTTGTGATCGATGAGCGAGAACGGACCTCCCAGCGCCGGGCGCCCGATGGACTTGGTCCTCTCTTTTTCTATCACTGCAAAGTACAACCGATCACCGATTCAGAACAAGGGTCATTATTAGTTAACAGCTTTATCACTTGAATAGAATACATATGAGCTTGTACAGAATGTAATCTAATGATGTATTAACTTGTATCATACATTAGTATGCACTGAATATTAAAAGTTGTACAATACTTACTTTCTTCCTTTTCTTTCTTCAAATATTTCATTGCTCCAAGCACAGTGCCTCCAATAGCAAACGTTATTGCTAAAGATTTCCATGTCACAGGCTTTACAAGGGAGAGATAATTCATAGAAAACATGTTTTTTATATTTTAAGAGTTGGGTTTCTTTATGCTAAAACAATGCTTTAAATCAAATTAAATACATTGTATAATTGTCCAAAATGGGTTCCCAAGGCTTTTATAAACGGCAGCATTTACATTTGACAATGTCTTTAAGATTTTCCAAACTTTGTAAAACGTGTTGAAAAGTCTCCATTTGAGCTTTACAACGAACCTACATTTGCAACAGTTTTTAAATGTGAATTACTGAACGCTAAGGTAATCAAATGAATAAAACTTAACATGTCCACTAGTTTTCAACAAATTAGGATTGATTTTGTATACCATCAATATAATTCTATGATATTTAGAAGTTATTTGGTCCAGCATTAATAATTGAGTGCAACTGATCTTGTAAATATTACCTTAGAGGAGAAAATCCCACATTTGAAGATATATATATATATATATATATATATATATATATATATATATATATATATATATAGTGTTACATTTGTTAACACTGTTATACTTCTCTTTCCTCATTAAAGAAATTGAATGCTCATGTCTTACACGTGTAAGAAAGAACACAAAGACATTCCACTTACCCCAGACTTCTTCTTCTTCCCTGATTTAGGCGGTGGAGGTAAAGAGGAAAATGTTCTTGGGTGTTGATACAGCCTTTGTGCTGCTCTCACATTCACCTGTTAATAAATACACAGGTTACAGTTAGGTTTAAGTTTTACAATTAAAAATACAAAAGCATATCAAAGATAACACAAATATTTAGTGAAGGAAGTAGCAGAAAATAAAACTCTTACGTCACAATCTTGCCAAACTCCATTAAAAACATTTGCTAACTTAAGGTGGTGCCCCATGATAGGGACAGGTGGCGTAACTGGATAGGTGTTTTTAAATAATTAAGGAGGTTTTTTTTCTCCCCAAATAACCTCAGCTAGTTTTTGTCAGCAGTAAGACATGTTTCTTCAAATATTTTAACATGTTTTGCCATATACATAGTAAAACAGTGACGCACAGAGAAGAAAAATAAGCTTTTAGAATCTAGTTCAACAGAAATGAGTGTTACCTTGCAGGCTGTAGGTAGTCTACAATGTATTAAAAGTAATTGATAAATGAGTGTTCTAACTATGAAGTCTAGCAAAGAAGTTGACAGTGATGCGTACGTTTAATTGCCGAATATCTAAATGGAGTTTGGTGTTACATATGATAGCTAGCTTTGACCTACCAGGCAGCAGTGAAGTCTCCGCGGTGACAGCTCTGTTTCTCTCTGGAAAACATTGTGTGCAAGTCTGACGGTCTGGGTCTGCTGCGTACATGTTCTTAAGAGTTTAACGTTACTGTGAAACAACCGGCATCCCAGGCTTTGATATAAAACACTCATGGCCATGTCTGGACCTTGACAGTACCACTTCTGTAACGAGGAAGCGCCGGTAAGTTTACAAAACGTGATATGATACAAGGCGGAAAACTGCTGTTCTGGAGTCAGTCTTACATATATCTGTTAACCTAAATGGAGCACAACAAACGGAAAAGGCTGTTCGGAGATCTGCCGTTATTAAACAGGAAATTACGTCTTTTACATCTTCTTCTGTCATGCTGTTATTAGTAGTGCTCTCTGCTGCCTCCTATAGGTCGAATAGTCTTAGTGCGAGGTGAAACTACTACAGGAAAAGCTAAACATTTTAACTAAAATATACAGTACATGTATACAGGGTAAACATGAATCTTCCCAAATTGTTAACTTACTTTAAGATTACAAGTTTTCTGAAAAGGTACAAATGAGGCATTCACTTAAGTATTTTTGAGGATTTTGACCATCATTATATTTATACCATCATTTGACCATACATTATAAAATACTGTCCTAAAGAAATAATACATTTTTTCCAGTTTGTTGAAAATAAAATGTTCTAAAAAGCAGGCTCTCAATTGTATATTAACAAAGATAGATAGGAATGAAAATGCAGATGAAAAGTAAGAAAAATATATAACTATCTTTGATTCACTTTGTCTTTTATTGCATATTATTTATACTTCAATTGACAGAAAAAACAATCAACATTCCACAATCAATTGCACTTTATAGAGAAAAACAGTAGGTAAACATTTGATGAAAAATACTTTGATGAAAAATACTTTATGACAGCTCAGCTGTCATATGTTTGTATTTAATGCTACTAAAAAATGAGCAGCATCGTTGGTCCAGGGTTTTCAGTCAGAGAACATAACAAAAGGAACAGTAGTTGATGTTTAAATAGCAGTTTTACAGTGTGAAGGCCAGTTTGCTCTCAGCTCTGTATTGATGTAATAGTAAAGCCAGGCCACAAAGGGGAACACTGTGATGGCAGTTGCCGTGGAGACTCTGAACATCCCCACCGGAGACCTGACAGAAAAGGAAAACACACATAGCCTACTGTAAATAAAACAAAAGCCATTTAAATAACTATATAAGACCAGCTTTATTTTCATGTAAATGTATAGTGTCCTGGCCAAGACAGGCAGCATTACAAATTGTTGTGAAATAGAAACAAAAATGTAACAATTTCCAATGTCCTAAGCACACATCACAGAATACAAAGATAACAAAAGACTTGATTTAACATTCAAGTCTTTGCAGCTGTTCCTGGTTCAGTACACACCTAAGAAACAGTTGGTCCTGGAACCAAATTCACTAAGTTCCCATACATTTTATCCATAGGTAAGGAGGAGGAAACGTTCCAAAAAGTGCCTTACAAAAATGAAAATGTTACCTTCCAGAGTGGCGACAAAGGAGAAGCCAAACAAGTGTCAGCATGAGACCAGAAAATTCTCTAAAAGAAAGAAAAAATATATTAAATGTCAAATTGTTTTTTTTCCTGAATGAGATTTGCATAAACAATTTCTAAAATATATATTTCAAACATATTATCATTTATGTATTATAACCCTTTTTTACATTAGATATTTCAACTACACTTTGCATTATTGTCTATGTTGGGAAAGTTGTATGTGGCATCGTTACTATCAATCTAAATCTCCATGTCCATACTAGGTTTGTACCCCTAATTCATCATGAATGTACTCTTTTATTTGTAATATTGAGATTGAAATCATACCAATAATAATAATCATGGAATCATACCATACATTTTTACAAGGACTGCTTATGCACACACAAACAAATATAGCCCACTTTTCTGCATATACATGTCATTTAATGTGTTGCCTTAAGAATCCCTCCTAACTAGTGATTATCTCCATGTTTTCAAATTGCTTCCCTCTAGTATTTACTCCAATTGCTTGTAATTATCTTTAAAAAAGGCCAATGCTTCAGGGGAATTCATTGAAATAAGACTTGCAATATGCAGATCACTACAGTACTGCAGACTCAACACCTATTTAAGTAAACCGTCTACCTGCCCTCCTCCTCCTGGAAGATATCTGTGATTCGCTCTTTACAAAGTCTCCATCCCAATATGGAAACCACAGCAGTGGAAATCATCACATGGAGATCTGCAATACGCCTCCATGGCAACGTTTCTGCAAAGAGGAAATAAAAAAACATGTACAGTGAGTCAGCTTTGCAGTGTTATGTGTTGTGCTGTTGTTAAAGTAGAACTTTACTGAGCTGTACAGTCGTGATGAAGCCACTTGATGGCGTTATATGCACTGTAAAATAAGCATTAAAGCAAAGTTCAACAGCCTGCAAAGTGTGGAAGACTGGGAAATACTCAGGAAAGGAAACTCTAAGATATGACCTGGATTCAAAGTTTAAATACGCAATAAAGGATCATTCATATACTGAAAAACGACACACTATGTCTACCTGTCACATGCGGGTTCAATCCAATGCTTGCACACAGGACTGCGGGAACGCCATAACCAACCTGCAAGAGAAACGTTAAATATATATACAAAAATCACATCAATCTCAATAGACAAAATAATGTAGCAAATGGTTGTAATCTTACCATCCACAACCCTGCGTCTGGATCGTTAATCTAAAGCCAAGACACCATATTTGTTAGAGCGATCCACAAAAAACACATCGAATTCATATAATTTAGAAATTAAAAGCTTACCTGAACATATGTTGCAAGAGCGAAGAACACAGACATGAAAAGGTTGCAGATTCGCCAAATGACAGAAAGCCATGACTCTGAGTTCTTCTCTTTGCAAACTTCCCCCATCGTTGTTTGTTTCATTTCGCTTCCCCGCCCGGGCCTGCGGGACGTAGAGATAACAACAAGCAAACGCCATGACTCAGTCCTTCGAGCTGATGAAATATTGAGGCGTTTGTTTGTTATTTACTACGACATTTGCACTGAATTTTTGGGACATGCACGCCAATTCCCAAATTATTTAGCATATATATCTCCATAATGAGTCATGCACAAAGAAACACCCTCTTTTTGACGTTGTATAAGCCGACAGACGATCATTTAAGGCGGATGTTCAGTGTTTTTCTACATTTAGGGTTGTATAACTGTACACATTACACCCAGGGGCACAGTCCTGTTTGATATATTGTTTTTAAACGTACTCTTACAGGAACTATGTAGCAATGTGAAAAAAAGACCCCACACATGACACAGGTCTAACTACGTTGGCTTGATTATTGGACGTTTGGTTGCCCTGGCTGTCCCGTACAACAAAACGAGCACACATTCTGCAAGACCGCAGTAACGTCAGTTACCCGTAAGGCAAAAATATAACTTCCGTTATTTCTTTACAAAATAAAATAATTATTGACATTACATTTTTCACGTTAATTAATGATTTTTGCATTCATTATTATTACACAATGCATAAAGGCTTAGCAGCTATCCCACACATACAGGGACAGACAATAATATCATCAGTTAGAAAAAACTACAAAAAGAGTAAATTAATCAATATAAATAATTAGATAATAGTGTTTTGTAGTTGGGGTGCTGTTCAACACCTAAATTAATTGTCACTTTGGTTGTTTTTTCTGGGTAAATGACCGAGCACATTTTGATGATCTTGAAGGGATGAAACAGTTGCCCCAAGTCAAGCTCCTTGTAATTCTGTAATTGTTCCCAGAGCACAGCTTAGTAAAAACTTGGCAACACATCAAATGGCATTTAAGTTGTCTTAGGCTATGACAAAACATTTAATTTTCTTGTATTAAACGTTTATTGTAATGCTATGTTGTAGGGCTGTGTAATTAATCGTATTTTAATCGCAATTACGATTTTGGCCTGCGTCAATTACGAAAACAACATCATCGAAAAAACCGATTATTTTTGCTTTGCTAGGTTGTGACAGTGCACTGCAACATATTTGATATAATTTATTTTAGTCTAATTTATTTGTATTTATAATATTTGTATATGTTTAGTAGCTTGTTGAAGTGTGCTCCAAAATATTTGTTGATCTTGTTTATTGGTATTTATTATTTTTGATATTATTTATTTAAATGTAAATATAAATGTATCGTTTATTTTAGTATTGGTTTTTCAGTTGAATTATACGTTCAGGGTAATCAACAGTTAAAAAGATGCTGTTCAAATTATTATTTGTATTTATTTTAAAGTTCAATTAATGGATGTTTTCAAAGTCAATGAATAATCGTATTTAATAATCGTGATATCAATTATTGACCAAAAATAATCGTGATTATGATTTTTGCCATAATCGAGCAGCCCTACTATGTTGCTTAAAACAACTTAAAACAATTCTTATTCTCATGTTAGTATAATGTACTTTTTTGTATTTATATTAACTTATTTTTACTTATTTATCTAACTGTTATTGCTATTTTATTGACACCAGTCTTAGTATTGTAACTTATTTTATCATTTTGTTGTGTTTTTATTTAATTCCCATAAAAATATACCGAAATGGTTTTATTTTGAAGCAACCTAACATCACATCCGGCTCTGTCTCTGCTCACTCTCGTTGTGTTTTCTGTAGCTCCGGGACACTCTGTGGGTGTTGACATGTCAGTGTCACTTGGTCAGCTGATTGCGGGTCTTAAAGCTTCTTGGCTAGTACTGCTAGCCAGCTTAGTTAGCTTAGCATAGCTGGATGTTTGTTTTTGATAACGTTACGGATCTGTAGCGTTTAACGTAGCCCGGACATTTAAAATAATCGGAATAATTTCACGTATTTTAAACTATTCTACAGTCGCTACCGGATCGTTTTGCGGCCTAAAGTTGCCGTGAGGGAGGCAGTAATTATTGTGGCAGGGAGGGAAGGGTGAAGTTGTTCTCCGTGTATCTGCATTGCAGCCCGGTGCTGCTGATGGAATTCAAACACACAACAATGGCGACTCCCAGTCCTAACAACTCAACAACACCTAGCAGCCACAACAGCAGCAATAACCCAGGATCTGCTGCACACCACCATCTCCAGTCCCCCCAGCAGCACTTTACAACAATGAGCAGCATGCAGGGTAAGTAGGCAATGCTAACAGAGACGGTGCTAGTAGCTGGGATGGCTTACATTTTGCTGCAGTGAAGGTTAATGTTAGCAGCTAGCCGTGGGAGGCTCAGGCTACTCCCAGCCCTGAAAACATATTCCCGAGGGAACGGACCTGTATTTTTCCCCTAGAGAAACATGTCAATTGTCATCAACTAGAAAATAATAATATACTGTTTCTTACAATATTCATGTTATGTCATTGTTACCATTTTGACATTTCGTAGCCACGTTACGTTCTATTTTCTCCTGTCTGGGGAAAATACTGCCAAACTCCGTTCAAAGAAATGTCAATTATAAATCGTAACTATAACTACATATATCATAAATGCCAATTGTATAATATTTCATTTTTCAATTTAATAAACCGTAATTATCTATTGGTCTGCATATACAATCCGTTTATAATCATGTATTTGGATTGCACTTCCCTTGGCAGTAATGACGTCTGTTATTTCAAAATTGGCGTCATGCGTCTTTCACACATAACATGGATTGTAAGAATAATATATGCCGAGTTCATTAAAAAATACCTTCAGCGTTGAGAAATCATGTCATGTTCAATTGTCTGTAGGCGGTTGGCAATATACACAATCAAATTAAAGTAATTGTAAAATTAGATGGGTTTCATACATTCTTTACACCATTGTTATGCACGAGCAAGTACATGTGATGCATGAAGCTGCTCTGTCCTTTTTTTTTTTTTTAAATATCTAAATCAATATCTTTGATTCAATCACAATGCTCTAAATGAATGCTGTATTTTTGTGCAAACAATCTCTCATTTTAACTTGCAGAGTCCAACACCTGCTGGAGATGTCAGAGTGAAACAGGTAGCTACACAGTTCATTGACTTCTAAGAGTAGAACAAGCATTTTATTAATAAGTAAAATGTCATACTAAATCAATGATTACAAGTTCTGGGAAGCAAATGTGTGTATATACATAGATAGATATATATATAGATAGATATTTTCATGGTTTAAAAATGCAGTCCTGAATGATGATGTTTACATTGTGTTTGTATAGTTAGCGATTGGGAAATGTATTTTCTTGAATGTCTTTCACCTGATGGTATAATTAACCAATACAAATAGTCGTCATTGAGATGGCAGGCTTTATATAATTTGATTTTATAATAATGTATTGGGTTTTTAATGTGTATTTATGTACTTTGATTCATATTCCCCTGACCATATTTCACCTTTTACCTTACTGCTGCTAACTAATGATTCCTATCTCCTGACATGATGCTGAATGATGGTGAGATGTCCCCGAGAAAATGTTTATTCAACTTTTTATAATTTTTCACGGTGGTAATTCATTCTCACTCGTAGTTCCCCTTATATTTTTGTTTCATCTTGCCTCCATTGTATGTTACACTGAAACATGACATGCTCGCATTTGTGTCATAAATGTGCATGCTAATGCATTACCTTCCCTATGATGCATTTCACCTGCGATAGATATCTCTGACATGTCGGTGGAGCAAGGTGTGATTATTTTATCGAACCTGGAACTGGAACCTGGTTTGTTGGGTGAAAAAATTGGACACCATTTTATATTTTACAGGAGGATGGGATTTTAGCAGAGGGAGATAACATTAGGTCTAACTAACAAACAGCCTTCTTGAAGAGGATAAAGAAGCTGGCTAACTGAAGGTGAAATATGAAGAAAATAAAAGCTGTCTTCTCACCTCTAGGGTTTCAGATAAACCTGTCTGGAGCTCCCCCAAGTAAGCCAAACCTCTTTTGCTTCAGCACCAACAGTTCTCATCCCTTTGTTTCCGCCTGACAGTCTGGTATGGGGGAGTCTGTCCTGCTGTTCTCCACTAATCCCAGTCAAGACTTCTGATGCTTCAAGTAGGCTTGTGCCGGTTGCTACTAGCTCAGATGACAGGATAAAGCTGCAGCTTGTCAGACACCTGCACTTACTGTATGGAACTTTTATGAGTTTTACAAAGAGCTTTAATATATCATAGCCTTTTTCCCATCAACTACCTACTGCAGAATTAAAGGGATAGTTTGAAGTGAGTTGATATAACCTACAGTTGGAGGAAGTTAAGAGAAACATACAGGAGTACCAGCAGGAAGCTAAAACATATTTTTGAGACCTTAAAAAAGAAAATCAGTCCAAGTGTAATTACATTTAGCTTATTTCGCCTAGACCTAATCTCTCTTCAAAACCACCAGTCTCCATTGACAAAAACAGTCATTTTAACTCTGTTACACCAAATTAGCTTGTCATCCAGTGCCTAGATTGGTTAGTTTGTTTGTGTGATTATGTCACCTTGGTGAATCCTAACTAACAACTTAAAGGTCCCATGTCATGCTTTTTCGATTATTACCCGTCCCCTTGTGTGTTATGTAGCTTTTTCTGCATGTAAACGGTCTGCAGAGTGACAAACCCTCAAAGTACACCCTATAGCGAGTAAAACTCAAACACAGTCTATGCTGCCCCAGAACGCCTCGTTGGGGATTTTTCTTTTTCTTCCTGGGTACAGTGACGTATTAGGTATAGTGACGTAACGTAACGGCTCCGCGGACCTCCTCACACACACACACACACACACACACACACACACACACACACACACACACACACACACACACACACACACACACACACTCAATCTTTTCTCAGCTGCTGCTCCATGGATTTCTCAGCCTGAGACTCACAGCCAGGCTGCAGGTGTGTGTGTGTGTGTGCTCGGGCTGGATTTAGCTGTGTCTCGCAGACCCCACGCAGCAGCCAGGAAACAAGACCAGTAAGCCAGCTCACACTGTCCGCTCCTCGCAGCAGCGAGCCCTGCAACGTCCCGCCAACACGGCACCCAGACCCCACGCAGCATTCTCATCTGTTTGTCATTGCTGGTGTCATTTTCTGGTTGCTAACAAACGCCATTGTAACACATAAACACACACCAGAGCACAGTGGGCTCATAGGGAGGCGGGGCAGGAGCTCCAACAAGGCGTTTAGGACAGAGAGTGAATACACATACTATACAGAGATGCTGTTTGAGAAACCAATGTGAGTTTGGAAAATTGCACAATATAAATCTATTCTAGTAAACCTCAACAATGGAATTATGATCAGTAGAAATGGCCATGACATGGGCCCTTTTAAAACGCCAATGTCACATAATTACACAAACAAAACGGTAGACCAGGAACTTCCCTTTCCTGCAAAGTGGAATTACTGTTATTATCAATGGAGTCTGGTGGTGGTCTTTGATAACGGCCTAAGTTATCCGTTAGAAAGGTCTGTCTGACGGCTAGATAAATATAACAAAAAAAGTCTAAATGTAGTATACATTAAAACTGATTTATTTGTTTTTTAAGGTGGTTAAAGAGCTATCTGCTGCCCCCTTTCACAGGACTACATTGCTTAGCTTCCTGCTGTTACCCCTGCTTGTTTTTCTAAACTGCATTTGATGTAGGTAAACACTGACTATAGTTCCTCTTACAACCCAACTTCAAAAAATCCAAACTCCCTTTAATACGCCACCTTAACTGTGCAGTTCAGTTTCCTACTTATTAGACCATGTAAGTTGTAAGGTTGTATTTGCTCTCATCGGCATAAGCCTAAAACTCAGAGCTTCCATTGATATGTTAAGATCCTTTGTCCTTCCTCGGTGTGAAACAACAGTCCTCCAAAACTAAACAATGTTTGTAGTAATACAATTCCTAATACAACGCTGAAATGGAAGCTCTACCTCACTAGTTTTCAGAGTGCAACTAACAAGCAATAGTAGTGCCTGTAGTGTGGTCACTTCAACCGGTTTGTGTTTTTTTTTTTTTTTTATTGGCATGGGTGCACCTCAGCATAGCGTCTTGCTTGTTGAGACAAGGTACACACACTCCACAGTTGTCATTTCAAGCGATGTTTTGCATTCAAAGCCGACGGGAGTTCAAGCGCACACATTCTTGTGGTATTTGGGTGGAGCGAGCTGTCCTACGATTCGGAGGTGAAATCAAAGCAGTTGGCCTTGAGAAGCATGTCATGTGTATTTATAAGTGCATTGTTTTCCCCTTTTTATTTAATGTTTGGGTTGGTGTGTGTGCACTCTGAATGTAGGTGTTTGTGTGGGATTTGTTGCTGCATGCTTTGGTTTTCTTTCTTCATTTAATACAAGATTTAAATGTATATCTGTAAGAAAGTGGTGGAGTTAGTATTAGAGCTTTAGATAAGCACATTATCGGAGGCTGTTGTTGAACAGGTGACACCAGTATAATATTTTCTTCATGACAATTTGATTTGACAATCAAAGGGTAGGATACATTCTAGGATTTCAACTTTTCTTAATTAGCTTTCCTGATCATTTTGTATTGCAAATACATCTGTAAAGAAGATGTATTGCAATAGAGTATCGGCTACTCTAAGTGTAAGGACTATCCAGTCCAGAAAATCTCACTGTAATTTCTAAATCTAATGATTGGATAATAGCCAAAATGTAAACATCATTTAATCTTATGATATATAAGGATGCAACCATACAGCTTTCTCAGTCCCTGGGTAGATATTTGGGATTTTTGGTGTACAACTGCCATTTTTTCTTAAAAATGCTGAGTTAAGGGCAATAAACGTTATGTGTTGTTCTACATTTTGAATGGTTAATAATTCCTATAAAAAGACCAAAGCTACCAACACTTCTGATCAAGCAAACAGGAGGAACATGTAAATGTCTTGGGACTATTTTCAGCGGCGGATTAATCCACATGTGGTGCTATAGTGAGTATTAGAGGCATTTGTAGTCAAAATAAACTACTGTGTGTTCATGGTAAAGAAGGAACATGTCACTCAGTACAACAGTGTCCCTCATTGATGTGTTCTCAATAGTTGTTGGACAACAATGGAGCTCTATGGCACAGAGGAGGAAGCTTAATCAGGCTTGTATACACACAGTATTCCTAAGGAGATGCATTCTGTGATGGTTTGGGTCTTTTCATGGGATTTTTTTTAACGATGAGGAGAAAAACTAATCATCAGTTATCCCAAGGTGAGTATATTCTTGGAAACAAAACACATTTGTAATGAATAAAGCAAAACCTCCATATATGGTGATGCAATAGTTCTTTCCCATTTTATAGAAAGCATGACATCCATTGATTTGAGTACATTTGGATATATTTCGCCTCACTCCATCTGTTATCACATTATATAGTTTGTGTTGTCACTCTTAATTTTTACCTTTCATGTGCGGTGAGGTTGCCTCAGCGTTTACTGCTTTATCGAAGATCTGATCACATTACTGCTTTGTTTTATTCCTTGCTCAGGTAAACGCAAAGCTTTGAAGCTGAACTTTGCCAACCCTCCGATCAAACCCACCACCAGATTCACACTGAACACGGCCGGGCCGCCCTTCCAGAACCCGCACATGTGAGTGACCCTTCGTCTGTTGTCATGTCATCCTAAAATAAAGCCAGTAATGCTACATAATGATGTTTCAGTTGGTCTCTACCTTCACACACTCCTGTTTTCTGGCAGAGAGAGGCTGAGAACACACAGTATCGAGTCCTCAGGGAAGTTGAAGATCTCCGCGGAGCAGCACTGGGACTTCACGGCCGAGGATCTCAAAGACCTGGGCGAGATTGGACGAGGGGCTTACGGTTCCGTCAACAAGATGGTGCACAATCCCAGCAACCAGATCATGGCGGTCAAGGTGATCCATCTTTTGATATTCTAAAATAAATCATTACAAATCATAACAAATAGTGGGGTTTTTTCAATTTAAAGCACATCCCTTATGTTCACCTTTTTTGATGTTGAGTTAAACTTCATATAGTTCTACACTCATTTGTCTTAATGAAACATTACGTTTGTAACTTTTCTTGTATTAACAGAATATTTATGTATCAAGATTTTTTTACATTCAAGCACTACCAGGTAAAAATAAATTGGCAACGGTTTATTGTATGTTTTTTTTGGCAATAAACTTGAATTAATTCAGTTGTTTTAAGGACGTTTCATCATAATATTAATATGGCAAGAAAGGGAATTATGACTTTCCTTACAAAAGGTGAAAAAAACTATAGTTTTGGTGGTTCACTGAACATTAAAAACATTAAAACACATTAAAAAACATAAAAACACATTAAAACACTGGATCCAGAAGGCCGTTTAACATTTTATTGGTTTGTGGATGGTACAACATGGGTGTCAATGGATGTGGATCTCTCAATAAAAGAATATTGGCAACATATTACAGGTCTTACAATATGGACAAGCATAATAATCCTGAATAAGGTTAATTATTTTACTTACATCATACAACGCAGCCACAGGAGTAAACTGCTTACTTTTTCTTTAACATAGGAACAGATCAAAAGGGACCTAGCAGGTACTGATGTTACGTATTGCGCTGAGACTTCGAAGCGTGTGTCGAGTAATCCTCGAAGCTTTTTGTAAACCTTGTATTGAGGCTTGTATCGTTTTGGGCAAGTGACGTCATCGTTGACAAACGAAGCCTCGCTGCCTGTCGATACCACGTGACTGCTTCAGAAAGTGCTTCAGATCGGTTGAACCACAACGCTCATACCCATGGATGTATAATAATCCATATTACCCCTCCTGTACCCGGGCCCGGTGACACGATGGAATTAAGAGAGCTCAGAGACCCTCACTTATATAGAGGTCGGAACATGTCATAAGTATAAATGAATAAAAGCATAAATAAATGTAGGAATAAAAACATGAATAAATAAATAAATTAATACATTTAATAAATAGTGTTTTCAAGTTGATTTATTGTGTGTGCTGTGGCTCAGCTGGAAAGCAGTTGACTCATGACCACAGGGTCCCTGGTTCAACGACTCGTCAATAAGTCTCTTTTTGTTGTTTATAAAAGCTACAGCTAAATGAGATAATGTAGTTAATAAATGTAGTCTTTGATATGGTTTAGCCTTTCTCAGGCTACAACATGGTTACGTTTACGAATATTATTAAGGAATACAAATCCCTCTTTGCAATGTTTACCAGCCTCCTTAGGCTTTTCAATCACAATCATTCAACTGGAATAAAAACAATATTGTTAACATGAAAATATGATTTAATGTTCGTTGTTTAGAGTTATTCTAAGGTTTTACTCATTGGGAACTCGGTATGAGATAGAGCACACTGTTGAGATGTCCAATCTGCCTGTTTTACAAACTTTGACCAACAGGAGGGTTTGTGTTCAAATGAAGCCCATGATGAAGCCTCATGAGATGAACCCTTTTGCGAACCAATTGGCTGGAAAGCTTCAAAGCTTCATAAGGCTTCATCTCGCCATCACTACTAGCAGGTCAATCTAACAGATAAACAAACGATATGTTTACATGTCATCAAATGTTTTAAGTACAAACAATTGAGAACTCAGTGGTTCCTTTGTTCTGCCTGCAGTCTCTGAGGGGAGGAAGGGAGTGACAGGCCTGAAGGGTGGAGATTTATAAGCTTTGGTAGGGGGCGTGGCCTACACTTGATTGACACTAGTGATTCAGGTAGAGAGGAGACTTGGGAGTTTTAACAAAATGAGTATATGTTAAAAGGATTTTAGTTTCTACAGTGATATTTAATTGGGTTTGCAGGTTCATGGAATTTCACTGGTATTGATATTGACCAATAACTTTCCAATCTAGTACCATACCTAATCTATGTGAAAATGTCCACTATGTGTTTGTTTTTTTATAATTCTGTGCATTGTTTTTTTTCCAACAGAGAATTCGATCCACAGTTGATGAGAAGGAGCAGAAGCAGCTGCTGATGGATCTGGACGTGGTCGTGAGGAGTAGTGACTGTCCTTACATCGTGCAGTTTTACGGTGCTCTGTTCAGAGAGGTGCATACCATTTTCTACATTGTTCTTTTCATTATATTAACCTCTGTTTAATTACTCTTTTATTTTCTTTGTGCTGTCATATTTTATAAATGTGTGTTTATAAATTGAACTTCTCAAACTCATGACTACCTTTCTTGTGTTTCAGGGCGACTGTTGGATTTGTATGGAACTTATGGCTACCTCGTTAGACAAATTTTACAAATTTGTATATTGCTCATTAGACGACGTGATTCCGGAGGAAATATTAGGAAAAATAACATTAGCTGTAAGTTGTTCTTGGACCACTTTTAAAAAATGTAAATGCCTAATGTTCGATTCCTGCTGCCTAAGATTCCATTTTGTTTTGCAGACTGTGAAGGCACTTAACCACTTAAAAGAAAACTTGAAAATAATACACAGAGGTAAGACGATACATAATCTCATCATTAACTTATTTTATATTTTATAGACTCTTATTGGTAGAAAATCAGGTTTAACCTTTTCTCTCCTCCCTCCCTCAGACATTAAGCCGTCAAACATCCTCCTGGACAGGAATGGCAACATCAAGCTGTGTGACTTCGGCATCAGCGGCCAGCTGGTGGACTCCATCGCCAAAACCAGAGATGCAGGCTGCAGGCCCTACATGGCTGTAAGTAACTCTCCTTGTTAAAAATTAACTGATGCTACACACTAAAACACTAAATTGGTTAGCTGGCCGACTCTGTTGTGATTGGTCAACCGCTTAGAGATGTCCTGTCCCTTAGCATATCATGTACAATATGTTAGAGTGCTAGCCAGTAGAAGAGTGAGTGTATATAGTGATATCACTATGTTACGGAAGTAAACTCCAATGGAGGTTTTTCGACAGGAGGGGGGGGACACCCTCTGGCACCAACTTTGGGACTTTAGCCTTTACAATAGCTACACAGTGCTTTCTGCTTCCATACTGTTTTCTGCCACACTCACAACTGGTTTCTGATACAACAGCACGAGCAGCTTGAGAAAACAAATATTAGATGCTGAATCATCTAAAAAGTGTTTGTGATAAAAACAAGCGCACTTATGCCCCTTTCACACCAACGCGGTTCCAGGGCCGGTTCGGAGCTAGAGCCTGAAAAGCACCTGTTTTTCCTGTTCACACCGCAGCGGAGCCGGCTCTAAGCTCCGAAAACCGGTGCCTTTCAAGCACCAACAATTTTTCGGTCTAGAAGCAAGAACCGCATACGTCACGCTTACGTCGGAGGCGGGGGGCAGGATCAACCTGAGCAATAACAGTTCATGGCGAGTCCGGCAAATGAAAGTTTTAACAAGCAGTAGCGCTGACCAAAGTGACTAGAACGCAACCACACACTTATTAAAAAAAACACACTTTATAAAGTCAGGCAACACTAACTAGGCTTACGGCCCGTCTACACTACAGGCATCGAAAAATGCTTTCAACGCTTCGCCCATTCATTTGAATGTGGTGACGTAGAAGATTTTTAAACTTCGCCGAACTGCATTGTGGGGAGCATGGCATGGCTTTGCAAGCATCACGAGCATCTATCGGCATCAAAAGTTGAACAATGTTCAACTTTTGAGGCTCGATGCTTGGCATCAGCCAATCAAATCCCGCGTATGCAAATCTGCCAGTACAAGGGCTAGCCAATCAAACTGCGTGTATGCTGGGAGAGACTACGCAGGTCATTTCCTCATATTCCAAAAAATGGAGGGAAAATTCATTATAGCGGTAGTGAATCACCCGGTGCTGTATGATCAGTCTCTGTTCATCTACCGGGATACAAACCAGAGGAGCCAGGCATGGAGGGAGGAGGCAGAGACAGTGGGTGAAACTGGTAGGTTTTCGCCTGTTTGGGGATTTTATATCCAGTTTACTTCGTTTTAACATTGCTATTGCTTTGTATGCCGGGAACGGGCGGGAGATTCCTGATTGGTTGTTGGTCGCCTTGGGCGCGAGAAATCGCCAAGCCTCAGACACGCCCAGCTTCAAGATTTTTTTATGCCTGTAGTGTAGACGGGCCGTTAGTGTGATTCTGTTTATTTGTACCTTACTTTGATCATCCGTTCACTATTATTGATCATTGTGGAGAGCAGGCAGACGTTTTGTTTTGTATTATAGCAGCTATCGGATGGAATCAATACATGGGCTGCACACAGTACTCGAGTTGAGGGGGGATGAGGGGGGATGGCATCCCCCCTGAAATAAAAACGGTCAAAATCATCCCCCTTCTAAAACTGCCATTCCCCCTTTCCATCCCTTATGTCATTTTATCAATGAACGTGGCACTGGTATTACTGCTATTTCAACATTAATTTTGCACATTTTGAGTAAAATACTGTGGGCGAGGGAGCACGCACACACGCAATGACATTTTTACCAAGTCACTGACGCTATGCTATGCGAGTGCCCTAGAGGGCGCCAGAGCACCGTGATGTGCCTATTTGATCGATGCCAGAAGCGCAGGTAACGGTCATCACAAACCAGGAGGACAACGCGATCTGAGTAGGGTGACCAGATACCAACAAACCAAATGTGGGACAAGGAGTATGGTTCTGTGGGACAATGTGGGACACCCTCTCAACAGCACCCAACCCCCCCCCCCCCCCTCCCGGAAAAAAAAAAACGTAACAAATATATAACGGAGCAGAAAGTGAAGTCAAAATGCAGTAACAATTTAGTATCTTAATAAAGAAAAGTAAACTAAGGCTAACCAAGGCAGCAGCCATTACTAGTATATTACCTGTACAAGTAGGCACAACATAAATTTAATAGATACAAATAAAACCATAAATACAAATCAAAACTGGCCAGGAGGGAACAGAAACATAATAATACATAAAATAAAATAGCTTTCAGTTTTGTCCATCACAGCAACAGCAGGTGGCCCCCCCCCCCCCCCCTCCCCCCCACAGTGTGTGGGCTATTTTGTCACCTAGAACCACGGGTGTCTTTGACTCTGTCAAACAACTCTCCACAGAGGCAGGGGCAAGCACATCTGTTATTATGGACGCTGCTTTTTGTACGACCACATTTTCTTTACTATCTCAGAGTCTGGAAAAAAGGTCGGCGCTAGCTTGTTACCAGTCATTTGACCGGTATGATTGGGAGTGTTGCACTGTATGGTAAACACTGGTTATTTCTGCTGCTGTTACCTTGTCTGAGTGGCCATCATTTTTTGGTTTGAGTAGGAATGTCTCCATAGAGTGGGATGTCTCTTCTTGAGCGACACGTTTTGTGAGAATCGCATTCTCGCTGTCTTCTTAGCTGTAGTTTCAGTTTCCTCCATTTTCCATAACCTGCTGCGTCGCCTGCGTTCGTTGTTGTTGTTTGGCGGGGCCGCGGGGGGTGTGTGTGAGTGAGTTACTCTCATTGGTTAACACTTGACCAGCACCCGCCGTGTGTTACAGTTTGATTGACAGCAAACACAGCCCCGTGGTGATAGCCTTCCCTGCTTTCTCAACAGCCATTGGATGAATCTGATTTTAAAGAAAAGCGTTTTAGCCTATCAAAATGAAATATGCGGGACATCTTCTCAATTTGCGGGACGCAACAAAAGTCGTGAAAATGCTGTGCAGTCCCGCGCAAAGTGGGATATCTGGTCACCCTAGATCTGAGGGACTTCATATTTAAAAATACTAAAAATAACATTTCAGGTAAGTCAAGAGTCAGTAATCTTAGTCATTACTCATTACTTTAGTCAGCAAAGGTGGAATCTATGGACATAAGCAGCAATAACAACTTAGTTTGGAGTTTAGCTACGTTTTTCTCTCGTGTTAGCTAGCTGGTAAGACTCAAAACTGTTGATGAAATGATACCACCAGCACCAGAAGAGCCGAAACCCCTCCTTCAAGCAGTGAACACTTTGGTCATCTCCACAGCTGAGTGTGAACATGGGTTTAGTCAGATGAACATTTTAACCACAACTAGAAGCTCCCTGGAGGTAAAAAGCATGTCAGCCTTGCTTTTCATCAAGTGTGTTGGCCCTCCACTGAACAAGTTCAGACCAGAGGTATATGTCAAGACTTGGCTTCAAAGCCATTGCTTAGCTAACAATCCGAAAGCAAGAGCCAGAAAAATTGAGACCAAAAACCATGATTATGAAAATCTTTGGAAACTTCTATGAGATGGGGGAGAGTGGAGTAGGCAGCCATTGACAACATTGATCCTATTTTGTATTATCTGTATAATCTTTTAATATATTTTCATATTTTGTAAACAATTTCAATTTGCACTTAATGCCCTGTTAAAAAAAGTAACATCGGGAATGTTAACATCAAATATTGAACTGCAATAAAATGATGACGGATCAATATTTTTTTAATTAAGTGTTTAATTTACATAATGATTTAATTAATTACGATACAAATGTAACCCTTTAGATACCAGTTTTGATCGTATACCAGTAACTGCTTTTTTGAAAAAATACACTATAATTAAATATTCAAAAACTATTTTGACTTTATTATTAGTATAATCAGTTGATCCATCTGAATAATAAATGAGGGACTGTTAACCTACAAGATTTGTACCATATACTTCATTATAACCACATGTTTGTATCCCCTCCCCCCCCTTTAAATTAAAGTGAAAAAAAGATGTTGCACTAATTGTCCTCTGCATTTGACCCTAAATGTTAGTGGTGCCATGGCAGCCCGGGGACCGACTCCAATTCTGAGGTGCCTTGGTCAAGACAGAGCAATGAAAGGAGTATCTGAACATCCATAACATGCATGTTGTTTTAGGAGTATAATAATTATCTTTATGCTGGTTGGTCTCCCACCCTCGTCGGGTTATCAGCACAAATTATGTCCCCATATGATAAAATCCACCATCCCTGATTTTTTTTACAACCTGAGTACTGGCTGCACAGGTTGTCATGACTCATGTCCGACTATCACAAGTAGAATCATAATGAAAAATACGCCGGTCAAATGTGCCGGCTTATGCCACAATAGGATAGCAACATGCTAAGATCACCCATTTTATACCAGAGAAACTTTCATAACAGCGTTGTGATGCCAAACAGCGGGCAGCACTGCAGCGGTCGGTAAATGCCGCTGAAACACATTAATAAACAATGAACCACGGCACTCTGGATGTCGGAGTCGGGAGGCCTGTTACCTTATTCCGGCAAATTACTCAGACCTACTAATTGACCTAACAGAAGCTATTGAGTCCATGTAAGTTTACTGCTTGGCTCAGATCCACCAACGTCAGCAAGATCTCACCTCTATTAACTCCTGAGGAACCAGGTTCAATAAACTGCTGTTTCAATTCAGACGACCCGCTAAATCTGTTTAAGCTATCCCGAAGGATTTTTATATCAGTAATGAGATGTGGCCCTACCTAAGTGGCAGTGTGGCAGATGTTCATTTCTTACCTTTCAAGCAGGAGAGGAGAGCGCATATTTCTTTTTAAGTTGTCCCAATCCAAAGGGTGGGATCAGTTTATTTGAAAAAAAATGTGTCCACACTTGTACAGGGTTTTTACCTTCTCTTGTTACAACATGACAATCATACAGAATATTTCATGCTGTGGTCATTTTCTAATATGAAACCTCAATTCACAGTTTTAGATGTATTATACTAAAGTGTAACTTCAACTGCCCAATTCAGTTGTGACATTAAAATCTCCCGACACAATTAGAGGCATCTCCTCATAAAAGGTTGGTGATAAAAACACATTCAAACTTTCATTCAACAAACCAATTATTATACACACCTGTGTCTAGCATGAATTCAGAGGACCATGGCTTCGTATGATTAAAGGCAACACGATCATCGACCCGACGCCGTTGGGGAGAAAATCCGCAACGTAAACGGTGACGTCATGACGCAGCACCAGTGGGCGGTGTTAACAAAACGGGGGCTGAAAAGAAAAACCGGTTCCGAACCAGAAAAGCTCTAGCACGGAGCTAGAACGGGAACCGCGTTGGTGTGAAAGGGGCATTAACGTACCAACACACACACACACACACACACACACACACACACACACACACACACACACACACACACACACACACACACACACACAGACATCTCTCATATCATCTGAGTGCAATGGTGCATGTTCGACCAGTTTGCAGGCTGCAACAAACGTGTGAGACACACACAGCATTTAGCGAGGAGAACCTCACATTTATTAACATAAAATTAACAAATTGACTTTGTTGTCGAGTGGCAACCCAGGCTGTGCAAAGGGCCGGGGATCCAGAGGAGAGTCAGGGGGAGACTGTGACTCCGGGCAGCTGAGCTTAAGTACATGTAGGTCCTGGGGCACTGGCCAAGTGTCCTCAGCTCCCCCCCCCTCCAAAGACCTGGAATGCACACAGACACACAAGCAACACGCAACAGGCTCTGGGGCCGTCACAGTGCATTAATCTGTTCAGAAGTTATGAGCCTTTTTGTCTTACGCCACTCTCACTGCCACACCCGCTTTTTGCCAAGTGGCATGAAAACAAACACACACCTCCGCAACCAAACACTTGACCTGCATGCCAGATTTCAGCCGCTTATGTCGGAAAAAATTGGACGGCAAAGGTGTGGCAATATTTGTGAAGCCACCCACCAACAGAGCCACATAGTGACCTAGAGAGCAGCAGGTCGGAGTTAAAGACTGAGTTAAAGATCTATTAGTTTATTTGATTAATACTAAATCTCTGGGTTTTGAAAGTAAGAGTCTCACCTTCTGCAACTCTATTCTGTATGTAAATCACATAATTCAGTCAAATAAATGGTGCTATGAGTGAGGACAGGCGTCTTACTCAGGGTAGCAGATATATTCTGGTGTGTGTGTCTATAAGATACATTTTGATGAATAAGTATTGCCTCGACTGATTAAATCCTGTTAATGAGCAGTTTCTGTGTGTAAATACACACAGCATTGTTGAAGAGCTGCGGTGGTTTAAAGGGGTGATCTCAGCGTGACGTCATCACCGGAGGTTATTTTCTGTTGGGGGGTTACATCCCGCAGCAGTTTCCATTCTAAGTTTTGTGAGGCTCTATCAGCATACACCCCCCCCCCCCCCCCCCCCCCCCCCCCCTCCTCACACACACACACACCCTGCCCTGTGTAAGGCTCAGGAACTCAGACTGCAGGAATCTGTGCTGCAGTTTCTTGTTTCCAGCTGGCACAGTCTCCAGGTGATGAACACTGCGGTGCTGCAGATTCAGTGACGTAGACAATATGACCTGAGGACAGCTGTGGAGTTATTGCTACCACAGAGTTTAGAAGACATCTTTAACTCGACAACAATTGGAGTTGGATGCAGGAGGAATTTATATTTGAATGGTTAAGTTGAAATGACACAATGTGGTTTTTCAAAGGCTACATATGTGTGGAAGTTGTTGTTGTTGCAGTTTATGTTTTTTATTTAATATTCTCTTTAGATGTTTTAGAATTTTGTAAACTGGATTCCCATTTACTGTGTTCTTATAGGTTGTGAATGTAAATTAAACAGTTTAATGTAGTATGTAAACATGCTAATAATAATCCTCATTGACTGCAGATCGAGATTCAGTTCGTAATGATAACCGATAAAAGAAGGTACGATTCCTCACATCGGAGAATCTAGAACTTACAATTATTTGACCTTTAGATTACTACAAATAATTAACATCTTTAAAATTGCTGTCTAATCTGCAGAAATAAGTCAACTAATTGATAGTTAATATAACTGTTTTGATATATTGTTAAAAGTAATTATTTCATGCAAAGAAATTCCAAAATGCTGTTTTCAGCCATTATAATGTATCAGATATCCTGGTTTTCTCTGTAAATATCATATCAAAATTTCAAAAATGTTGTTTTGAACTTGAAACCAGACATTTAAAGATATCTCCCTAAACTTCTTAAGAAACTAGGAAATGTTAGCACACTAATTGACAATGAAAATAATCATTAGTTGCAGCACACGTCTAATTATTTTCCCCACGAGTATAATTTTAACGATGAATTTGCTGAGGTGGTGCAGACTGAACACTGGGTTGTGGCAGATGTGAGCGTGTCTCTGCAGTGTTCAGCTGCTGCTCCATCACTGCTGCAGGCTGCAGCACACACTGTACCGCTCTGCGCGCTGACATCAGCATCTAAATCAGGCCCTCTGAAAGTGGGCCATCGAGGGGCTTCCTCCTCCCTGCACCGCAGCAGACTTTCTGCAGCCCTCCACACCGCTTTGCCTCTGTGATGAAGGGGAAGGCGGGCTGTGAATGACAGGAGGGAGATTGGAAGGCACGCAGAGCCTGAGAGGCAGGACTGAGGGAACACGCTCCTCACGTGTGCGCTGATGGCATGTGCTGCAGGTGAAAACACGCCCGAGGTGATGTGCTGTCTCCGGGGAGAGTTTGTGGAGCACTGGATTTGTTTTGACCCAGTTTAAGCAGGAGCACCTGTTTCTTTATTGTTATGTAGTCTGGAACCAAAAGACTGACATTAAAAAAATACATTTCCTCATTAGAATTGTTAAAAACGACCTCACTTGTGTTAGGCATATACATGTTGATGTGAACTGAACCTAAAATATCCGAAATATTTCAGCATTTTTTGAACCCAGAGAAATCCGTAATTATAATCAAGGTATTGGTACGTTTAATTTGTTTTCCTGTGATGGCGTTGTGTCTCTTTCGAGCATGCGACAACATTGTTTGCCACAGCTCACGTAGACTAACTTTCTATCTAGTTTTCCCTTTTTATATGATTTTTGAATATTTTTCTTTACTAGATGAAGGATTTTTGTCACGGACATTTGGATTTTAAGTAATTGGAGAAACAAGCTGAGCGAATTTCAGAAAAACACAGATTTTGAGTGAAACTGCTTTACTCAGTTTTATTTTGACTTTGTTTACGTTCAGCTTTATACTTCCCTTTTTTTAAGGATGAAAAGATGTGGAGGTTTCTGTTAAAGTTGGGGTAGGTAATTCACTTCAGAAACACTTTTTGTTATATTCCATGGAATGCTCTTAACATCCCGATAGCAATGAATACATTAAATGCTTTGACAATAAATACATAAAAATATCTTAAAAAATAACTGGATGGCCGACCTGCCTGTCAGCCTTCCATCTGTGCACAAACTTATCTCGTACCCTCATTGGTTATGTTCGTGTGTGTTGGAGGAGTGGCTCTGTAAGGAACTCTGAAGGAAGAGTCAGATTTTTTCTGGTTGTGTACTTTCAAATTCTAGCGCACTCGAGCTGGTTTCTCCATTCTTACCTACCCTACCTTTTAATGCTGAGAAAGTATTTGAGGCTTTAAATTCAACACACAGTGACATCTGGTGGTTTGCTAAACGTACAGCAGCACTTCACATCACCAGTTATCTAATATACTGTATGTGCCGTAAAAAGACCTTTACAGTAGGATATTACTACATGTGTTGTACAAAAAGCCTAAATATAGAATAGACATTGTTTTTGTTATTGCACAAAGTGTATTGGCATGTTGTACTGGTGGTGCATTCACACATATCAAACAGTAGGAACAAATAAAGGAGAATACAAAATTAAGTTGCAAACTAAAGCATAATTTCAACATTTGTACATGGGGATTTAAGCCTAAGCATGTTGGTTAAAGTGTCATCTGTTTCCTGTTTGGTTTTCAGCCCGAGCGAATAGACCCCAGTGCGTCCAGGCAGGGCTACGACGTCCGCTCAGACGTCTGGAGTTTGGGAATCACACTGGTGAGTCTTCACTTCACACTCATGGAGTCAAATCATAAATAAATAAGATAGATAAGATAAAGCTTTATTGTCTCCCTTAGGAGAAATTTGTCTTGGGCATCGAGATAATACACATAAAACATTCAGGTCAATCAGTCATAGATACAGAACAGAGATCACATATCACATGGCAAAGAAACAAACAAGAAACATACAGGTACAGCACTTTCCCTATTGCACATATCCCTATTGCACATACATAATCAAATATTGCACTTTCCCTATTGCATTCATACATAATCAAATATTGCACCTTCCCTACTGTATTCATACACAAATCAATATTGCACTTTCCCTATTGCACCTATACATAGTGTCCGTCAAATTGCACATATCCCTATTGTGTCCATACCTATTTACACATAATGCACTTCCCCTATTTAACTTTCTCGATTGCACAAACATTGCAGCTCCCAACAACTCCTAACACAGCATAATCACAATTGTTTCTGACTGCAGTAGCTTGATTGAGAGCGGAACAAAGGAAAACTTATACCTGTTCAATTTACAGTTTGGTAATCTATACCTTCTGCCCTCGGGTGTGGTACAGGGTGTGGCAACACAGGCAGCAACTCAAACTCTCTATACAGGATGTGTTTGGGGTCGCATGTGATTTTACGGCCTTGCTTTCTCACCATCTCCTCAAATATCTCCTGAAGAGAGGATGGTGGAAGCATGCCAATTATTTTTCCAGCCCTTTTTATCAAGCTCTGGAGTTGTGATTTAGATAGAAAAATAATAAAAATAGCTTTAAGCTCTACCATCTAAGGTGCCTCATACACTTGGATACCCATTACTCCTAAACGATTAATTAAGAGTGAGCAAAACTGTGTACATGTCCTAATTGCTCAGTATTGACTTTATTTAAAGTACACAATGCATTAACTAGTTTCATATCATTGTAAACAACATTCATCAATGTGTATATACTGTTTTCATTATAATCAAGTACTATAGTAAAGTAACATATAACTGTATGCTAGAGTTTACATATTAGAAGGAAGTAGGGGGGGCTCTTATTGTGAAAAAGCAGGAAGTGTTTCTGTTATAGTGTACAATTAAAGGAGTTTTGGAATAACTTCAAAAGTTGTCTTCCTTTCAAGAAGCAACCATTATTATTTTACACCTGCTTTGTATCTGCAGTTTTCCTTGTACCATGTGTAATGGCTATGTTGTGTTTCAGTACGAGTTGGCCACAGGCAGGTTCCCCTACCCGAAGTGGAACAGTGTGTTTGACCAGCTGACCCAGGTGGTGAGGGGGGACCCCCCACAGCTCTGCAACTCTGAGGAGAGGCGCTTCTCTCCCAAATTCATCTCCTTTGTCAACGTGTGGTGAGGAAAACACATTTTGCACAAATCTGTTTAGTTCTGTACTGAAGAGTTAGAAGCTTTTAAGACATACATTCAAAGCTTTATTTGAAAACCTCATTAGCATTTCGAAATGGAAAAAAAAACAAGTCATTCGGTGCAGACCTGAATGTGTTACAGTTGTAAAAATTGAAAAATAATGTTTGGAATTTAAATGATGTTTTAATGTCAGGGTATTGAGCCTGTTTAGACTCCAGCTGTATCCTCTGTCCTGCTGGTGGACAAATTACTGAACTGCACCCTCTTCCTTTTAACACTTTTTATATTTTCCATCCTTCCTCTAGCCTTACAAAGGACGAGTCAAAAAGGCCAAAGTACAAAGAGCTACTGGTAAGTTCTGTATACATTCATGAAGTTCTAGAAAAAGGTTTAGAAATGTATTTTACTCTTTAAACGAGGCAGTGTTTTGTGAATAGTCTTAAAAATGTAGAAAAAACTTAACTTGAAGGTGTTAAGGTTTGAAATATGCTTTAATTCTAGCAAACACCCTGAACAATTCTTGAATTTCAACAAAATCTAGTGTAATATCTATTTGTTATTTTTGGCAACTCAGCAACATTTTTAAAATCCTTTTTAAATCATACAATCAAAGTCAATATGAACAGCTGATAAAAAAACAAAGTGATATTATATATTGACTGCTGTAGGTAAATAAGGGTGCTGAAAACAATTGAAAATACATTTATATAAACAATTTGTATGTGCCTTTCAAATAACAAAACAAAATAATACATTAAGTTAGAATAAACATGGAAAATCAAATATAGAAAATATTTTTAAAATATTATCAATTACAATTAATGTATAATCCAAGAATCTGGGCAATTCCAAATACATTTATATTGATAATTTATATTTCACTCTCAAATTAATAAGTACATTAATAATTCATCTAATAATGCAACTAATTCATTAAATTAAGGACTTCAAGAATCTGGATATGTTTGGTTAAGTAACCTTGAAAGTGTTTGAATTTACTCTGAATAAATACAAACCCTGGTGGTCGTTATTTTTATTTTATGTTTTGTAGGAGGTGGTATTTATCTATATCTCCTCTTGTTTCCCTGTCCACTGCAGAAAGATCCGTTCATCCAGATGTACGAGGAGCGCTCGGTGGACGTGGCGAGTTACGTGTGCCGGCTCATGGATCAGATGCCGACGTCTCCCAGCTCACCGATGTATATGGACTGATGGCACAACAAGACACACAAACACATCACTAAATATTCACCATGCAGTCTGCAACAATAGATGCATTAACAAAAAAAAAGAAGAAAACAAAACAAATCCTTGTGTACATTTGCTTGGTCCCCTTATTGCAGTGTTAAAAGAGAATTGTAATGCCTACAAAAAAAAACACACCATTTGCAATAACAGTGGTGTTATGTCTGTATAATATATCAACACTTCTGTTTCTCTCTTGTTCACAAATACACAGTTATGTAAGTATGATAGCAGCTGAATCAAACAATCATCTAAATGAGGACACATCTCAGTGGTTAGTATAAGAAAATAATAATAATAATGTGGAACTTGTATTTATATTTGATTTGGAGATTCTTCAACATACTGGAATCATGCTCTTTTGTGAATTGTCCCACCTCTTCCATGTACGTAACTGAAAGCATTGTGTTTGGTATGTTAATGGAACTTTGCTTCTCTGGGTATAAAGCAGTTTAAAGCGTGTTGGTGGGCAGAATCGTGTTAGACCTGCAGTCCGTGCTGAGGGACTGCTGCCCTCGCTGTACAGTGGACTATATGCTGATATATGAATAAAGACGGAGAGAGGAAGTGTGTGTTCTGTCTCGTGTTTTTCCCCATTCATTGAACATAAATAGTTAAGGCTTTATATCATTTTGTTTAACTTACAGCAATGCATTATTGTAGAGATTTGATTTTTAACTTGGTACTTCGTAAGGTTTCAGTTCCCTCCTGGGCACTGCCAGGGGCCATTGAGCAAGGCACTTGGCCCCCACTGCTCCCCAGGCTCCTGGTACTTTTAACTTTTTAACTGATTTGAACTGGAAAGGAAGGGTATGAAAAATGTGTAATCTGAAAAATAACTAAAGCTACCAGAAAAGTAACATAATATAGAAATGTTGAATACATAATATAAAAAAATACATTTGTCTCTATTCGCATTGTTATTTTTAAATATAAAAAAAAGTATAATTATTAGCTTTTTTGTTATCAGCGCTCTACTAATAAATATTTTAAATAGGTAATTTCATCCCTTCATTTTATTTGCATTTTTTTTATAATGATACATTTTGTTGATGTCAGCTCCTGAATTGTGCTGTGTATTTGCCTGAATTCTTAGCCTGGAATGATTCATATTTATTTATCTTTAGCAAAATTAGGTTTTCATTTCATTTCAATAACAAATGATGGAAGAGAGTTGATAACAACTAAAAATATAGACGCATATTTAAACAACTAGGAAAGTGCAATGAGGGAGAAATAAATAATCTTAACCAAAACAGTTGATGTCGAATTTAGAACGCATTATATTGCCATGGTTACTCCATTCAAACGTGGTTTTGAAGCATAACGGCCGAACGTTGGTGAATATTGACAAAAATAGTATCTCATAACAGTTCAGCTTTCTTGATAGTTTATCTTTCTATAAAGTGAGTGAAGATGGAGGAAGCCCCGGAGCAGGCAGTGACCGACAGCGGCAGCGGGAACGCTTTCAGCCAGTACGTCCGGCATCACCTCTTCCTGCTCTCCAGTCTGCTCTCCGTCGCCTTGGGTGAGTTCAACTCAGGCCGGAGAGCTCAGTGCAACTTTAAAAAGAGTTTTAACTGAATTATAAAACTGCTCTTTCAACGTTTTAAAACTGGCTTACACACTTTAGCTGACTTCGGTTGCTTGTTGTATGATCTTATCGTTGGTTTTATGGGTATTTAATTTCAGTTGCTTTGTTACTAATCGTGATGAATAATAAGCGCAGTTTAACTAAATTAACGGTAGCCTATATTTGTTTTATTTCCAATAAGAAACATACTCAATTTCATTGTAATTAAGTAGCCTACATGTACTCAATTACTGTACTAAAAAGTAAGTTATTATGGGTTAAGTTAGCCAGTAGTAAAACAAAAATAATAATTTAAGGCATTACGAGTACTTTTACTGTTGGTACTTAAAGTGCATGTTAACATAAAACGCCTCATTCGGTTGCCAGGGTAACGAATCTGATTTATCCAGCTTAAACAGCCACCTCTAGCGGACAGTCTTAACCACTGCATTTTATACTTTTCTTTATTTATATTAACCCTCAGGTGCGCATAATTTTACGTAATTAATCATATATTTTCGATTATAAGGAGTATAAATATGATTCAGATATCCGCGGAATCGCTGGGAGAGTAGCTTTCCAGCGGTATCTCCTGTGAGACTGTAACCAGGGCACAGTAGCCAATATGGCCGCTCAAAGCAGCTTGACTTTACACTGTGTGGGATTGGTGGATTTGTGTGTCCGTCAAGGAAATCTCGGCCGGCAGCCATACTTGGTCTGAAATGACCAATGGACATCGAGAAATCACTAAGGACCTATCCACCAAGTAAAAAAAACATAAACCACGTGTCTCCCATCAGTTTACGTCTGTGTGAGGAGAGAGAGAGAGACAGAGGCTGCTTCTCAGGTCGACTATTTTCATTTCCTCGCTCCTCGCTCCTCGGTCCTCGGTCTCACCGGAAGTTGATTTGCCTGCGCCATCTTGAGTACCGTCCCATGGCTCTTATTTCTGCCGGAGTCAGTACCAGATATGGGCTGCTTCTCAGGTCGACTATTTTCATTTCCTCGCTCCTCGGTCCTCGGTCTCACCGGAAGTTGATTTGCCTGCGCCATCTTGAGTACCGTCCCATGGCTCTTATTTCTGCCGGAGGACCGAGGATCGAGGAGCGAGGAGCGATCATGGAGGAGCGATAACCGAGGAACCACCAGACCATCCTCCGATGAAATCCTCAGATACTCACCCCGCCCCCTTACTGTGTATCGCTCACTGATTGGACGAGGCAGTGCATGCACTGATCTGATGCTTCTTGACATGAGAGCAATACCCCAGCGGAGTGAAGAAAATACATGAACCTCACGGGACTCACTCCTCAGTTTATACCGTGTTTTGTTTCAATTAATGTATCATTTAGTTACAAATATGAGATATATCTGAACAACAAAGTGGTCAAAAATCATTTTATTCATTTATTGGAAACATTGTCATGATCGCTTTTTTCGTTTTACATTTTCATTTATTGTCATTTCCATTCAGTCATTCATTAAGTACTATTTAAAATATTAATTTGCTCCACACAAACAAACAAAGTGTGCAGTCCAATGAATGTTAATCTAACTGGGTTTTGAGATAACATATCTGTTTTTGTTCTCTGAATAATTGTATTCCTATTGTGCACTCTAATCAATATTAATCAAACTATTCTTCGTTTAAATACATTTTAAGAATGGCGTTTATCTTTTTTGAGAATGACTTCTTATTTTATTTCATGTATTGGGATCTACAACAGATGATACTAATGTTTATGTGAGTAAATGTGCACTAACAGAGGCGGGGTGTTTGTGGAAATAACGGGTACAGAGCTGGCTGCTGCCAGACGAACAGCTGTGCAGCGTCATCACAAACGGACGTCGCTTCACGTGACGCTCCGGAGGAAAGGACGTCCCATTGCTATTAAAACTCATTTCCCTGCTTCTCGTGGTTTCCTTGCGTCCCTCCATGCTTCCCTGGTGGGAGGGACTAAACGCAGGGAAACGACGCAAGTGAGGGAAGCAAGGATTTCATTTAATCGACCTGAGAAGCAGCCCATGTTCGGGCTACCAGATATGTTCGGGTGTATTTCCGTCGCATCCGTCATCCGTCATATCCGTCATATACTCACCTCCCTCTGCTCCCAGCGCTCTGCTGCCACACACCGGCCGTCTTCGGAACTGCAGCCGGAGGAACTCGGGACAGCTTGTTATGGGTGCTATGGTGGGGTCCCATGTACTTGTGCACATAAATAATGTTTCTAATTATTTACAATTAAAAAAAATATATATTCTGCGTTACTTTAGCCAACACTTTTATAAGGCCACTAGATTAGATAATTACGAAATGTGTAGATAGAATACATATATTTCAGGTTGTTATTTTGTCATTATGTTTAATGTTTTATTTACCTTTTAGTATTTTTATATAGTATCTGAACTTTGGAAAGGAGTTGGGAGACACACGACACATCAAATCACATCTACAGATCAAGGCGAAGCGAATGGATGTACTCCCATACTCCTAGCGTGAAAATGTTTGTGAAAACGTGTGCAAAGTCTCCGAAAATCCTAAAAATAAGCTCATATTTGAATTCCCCATAAAAAAACACATCATTCAGTAAAAACAAGGCCCCACTGATCATCTACTCTCTGAGACGATTCCATGGATGTCTGGCTTGAGTTTCGGCCACCAGGGAAAGTGGACAAAAGTGCCCGAGATCAGCCTCTTAATTTACCCAGGGCCTAGTGCTTGGCTTTGGGCATGAAAATTCAGGAAACTCCCCTGAGTATTTTATTAAATATCTGAACTTTGGAGAGGAGTTGGGGGACACACGACACATCAAATCACATCTACAGATCAAGACGAAGCTATTGGAAGTATTCCTAGCGTGTGAAAATGTTTGTGAAAAACGTGTGCAAAGTCTCCGAAAACGGAGCAGTGGCTGTGATGCTAGCTTTGCGGCTAGCGGTTAGTTGTTATTGTTTGAAGTTGTTGCTATGGAAACAACATGACGGAGAACAAATTAATATATTCTACATATAATAACGGACAAAGTAAAGAATGAAGTGTAGGCTATGCCTGTTTGAAGTTGTTGCTAAGGAAACAACATGACGGAGAAAAAGTATAATCTTCTACATATAATAACGGACAAAGTAAAGAATGAAGTGTCGGCTATTTTTAAATGTTCGGAATTTGACCGTGATGGCCCTCTTGAGTTGCCGTAAAATATGACGAATATGACGGATAACGGATGCGACGGAAATACACCCGAACATATCTGGTAGCCCGAACATATCTGGTACTGACACCGGTATCAGTGTCACTACCCGATCTGCAGCTCTGCCCGATCTGCTGTGCGCATGTGCGAGATGGTCCGCCATATTGGACAACGCCGGACGGCAAACCCAAGTAGGACAAAATTGACATCTAGACCGTCTGAACCATTCGCAAGTTTTTACATGTGACAAAATATGCATTGCGCATTCGCGAGTTTTTACATGTGATAAACGGTGATTTGCAGAGTTTTTACATGTGACAAACGGTGATTTGCATTGCATCTGACAGAATGAAGACTTTAGTGTTTTACAACAATTTGAGAGAATACATGTCTGAAGGTGAATTTCACACAGACCTCTCTAAAAATGAGCGAGATCAAATGCGCCGTGCGTCATCGAACTTTACAGTAAAAGGTATGACTATGCCTGTTTGAAGTTGTTGCTAAGGAAACAACATGACGGAGAAAAAGTATAATCTTCTACATATAATAACGGACAAAGTAAAGAATGAAGTGTCGGCTATGTTTAAATGTTCGGAATTTGACCGTGATGGCCCTCTTGAGTTGCCGTAAAATATGACGAATATGACGGATGACGGATGCGACGGAAATACACCCGAACATATCTGGTAGCCCGAACATATCTGGTACTGACACCGGAGGACCGAGGATCGAGGAGCGAGGAGCGATAATGAAGGAGCGATAATCGAGGAACCACCAGACCATCCTCCGATGAAATCCTCAGATACTCGCCCCGCCCCCTTACTGTGTATCGCTCACTGATTGGACGATGCAGTGCATGCACTGATCTCATGCTTCTTGACATGAGAGCCGTTTCCCAGCGGAGGGAAGAAAATACATGAACCTCACGGGAGTCACTCCTCAGTTTATACTGTGTTTTGTTTCAATTCCTGTTTCATTTAGTTACACATATGCAGTGGCGGCGGGTCATTAGGGGCAGGTGGGGCACAGCCCCACCTAGTGTCAGAAGAAAGTATTACAAATAATGATTACAAAAAAATACTAAAAAATAAATAAAAAAACATATAAAATATATTTTAAGGTCATGTTTAATAATCTGATTCGTCTGTACATTTCTGTTTTAGTCTGTGTTCTTCTAATTAGTGTCTAGAGTGCCGTTTTGAGCTGTTTAGAGCCATGTGGGACAAAACCCGATCCTGCCCCTCCCTCTCACAGTCTAAGTGAACGGTGATTGTAAAAACTACACTGCGCATGCTCAGAGTATTTTTCTATTTAATGTGTGTGGCAAAAAAATAATGACCGTAGGGGCATAGTGCTCCCATCCCCACCATACGTCATCTCACATAATTCAGAATTGATTGGCTGTAAGTACTCACGTGTGCAGTGCTGCGAAACGTCACGTGTAGTTTGAAGAGGAGACGAGAGAGCAGCATATAGCTAACGTCACCAGCGATTAAAAGAAGTAAAAAACTGAAAGAAAATGAATGAAGTTGACCATTTACTGGAGCACACATTTGAGACACTTAGTCTCGGAGAGAAACTGGAGGTAAAGCGCCTCGGTCCCCACCATCCACCGGATTTCCAAATGGTCCAGACTGCGGGCAAAGTTAAACGTGGGTTTAACGCTGAGTGGTTTGCTAAAAAGAAATGGCTAACGGCGAGCATCCAGAAGAATTCCCTCTTTTGCTTTCCTTGCCTGCTTTTTGGTGAAGATCAAGGTACTTGGTC